CGTATATGACTTACTCTTATTCGCTTTGTATCAGTTTATTTAGTTTTCTGGGATTCCTTGTACAAAATATGAGTCTGAATTAAAATATTCACTTCCTAATTTACATATGTACATAGATTGTGAACTGGCGAGACCATAATTTATGGACGAATCAATCAGATTTAGGATAAAAGGTCCTGGATTTTGGTGCGAAATTCATTCATCCATTTGGCTAAATAGAGTTTTGGCATTTTAGCTGATGTCAGTTCGTGATGAAAAACCCCAATTCTAATTCCTAACATTAACCATGAACAGTAAATTATAATCCCAATTCCTCCCACTGGTTTACGATCCTCATTAATCCCTAGTAAGTAGATGTACATTCTCAAGGTCACTTTAACATCACTCAAAAGGTTGTCCATAGATTATGGTCTCACCCATAAACCCTATCTTTCCGTTTCGTTCTGTGGTTCTCAGTCTTTTCATTTAGTCCATTTTCCCCATTATAGTCTACTGCTTACTTGCCTAGGGCATCTTCTTTCTTACCTATGCACCTATATGTTCTCCCAATTGTCCATAAGGTCACTTGCATTGATTTATTAATTTGAATTATTATTAAAAATTTAAAAGGGTTGACAACACAATAATAACAAATGTTTTCAATTAATTATCTTTGTTTATTTACCTTTTTTTGTAGGAATGATTTCACAAATGAGTAAACCAATTAAATTGATAATTCATGTTAAGCTGAATGTACAAATGAATCATAAATCACTTTATTTTAGAAAAAGCAAACAAACAAACAAACAGGAAAACAGGAAAAATGCATTGTCCAGATGTAAATAAACAAATAAATAAACAAATGGATAAACGTGTATTTGTATTTTAGTGTACAGAAATCAGTTTGTCTAACTAGACTGTTTTCAAACGATAAACCCATTGAAGCATGAATACTTATGGAAGGTTAGTCTAGTGTAGAGTTCTCATTTTCTACAGTGGATTCATTCTCAAAGCTATACAATGATTGATAAGTCTGCTAATTGAATACTTGATCTGATTTCTTAACCGCTTCTGATAACCCCAGAATAAATCTATACAGTAAGTTGAACACAACAGAAATAGTGCGAAGTGCTACAAGGAGCTTTACTCCAATATTAATGTATGTACAGGTAATCATGAGTATTCATACTATTTAATATGGCCCTGATCATTTAGAAAATTCTAGTAGCATACTAAACATAGCAGTAAGAAAGTAATTATCTAGTAAAAATCGTGGCACGTAATCTGTTATCCTTCTAAAAGCTTCTATTCAATCCTGATAGCATAGGATGTTTTCAAGTATTTTCTGAGGAGTATTTTAGAACTCCTCAACAACCATGTATATATATTCCATAATATGTCTGATGAAAGCATTACAAGGGTGAAATGGATTCATAAGAATTCTCACAACTTAACAGATTTTGAATACTGGTCATTTGGTCAAATCACAGTGAACGTTCGTAGTTTCATCTACGAAGTCAAAGATAATGTACCTGTATTTTCTGAGAGTCTATGCTAAATTTATATTTAAAGTAAGAAAGGTTGTTTCAGCGAAGAGTTCTGTTCTCGGGTGAATTCCTTTTCAAAACTGTACAATCGAAAATACATATTTATCAAAATGGTAACAATTACAATAATGGTGATAATAAATTTTTTTCTAAACATGGCAACAATGAAGTAAAATAAATAAATAAGTAAGTAAATGAACTTGGTCGGTCTAGCAAAATAAAAAATTGGTCACCTTATTAAAGACCAGTCAACTACAAATAGACTGTCTTCAGATTATCTGACTAACTGATTACCTCACCAGCCATGAAGGCTGATTAAGCCTTCTTGGGAAAGCCGATTTACTTTATTGGACATTTACTTCAATTTAAACGAGCACATATACCTGCTAGACTATGATATATGTTTTGCTAGGGAGGACCACCAAAACCACAGGACCTAATGACAGATTTGCTATTATTGCGCGAGTGAGCTGAGAGCGACTCTTGTTTGGTAAGTATACATTATATGCATATCAGTAGTACACAAGTTTGTGGATCATCCACTCCAAGCAAACACATAAGTATGAATACTATGTTAGTAACCAAATGCCAGTATGTTCGGTCTGTCAAATACACATTAAATATCCATCGGGAATAAATAGTCCATTGTATTCCATAGCATATATATAAGCATAGATGAACTGCCTTTGGTTATCAGTGCAAGTATGCCTTACGCCGACACCCAAAATACACAGATTAGGTCAATCTATGCACTACAAGTAATACGTATAAGGATAGATGAGCTTTTGTGTTCAGTATGACTTGAAACATTGTTTATCCAGCTTGGCGATAAAATGGTGGATTAGTTCGATCTCTATTGAACTCCTAAGTTGGTTTAAGATCCCTACGACATACGAAGATACCTGGGTAAGATTTTTGAGTAGAACTAACTGACTAACTCATCAGTAATATATGCAAGTTATCTGAATATATGGGACTAAAACCTAACATATATATTCAAAAAAGTAATTGGTTGATAGTTCTCAACTTTCATATGATGACCAAAAAAACATTGGTTTTCATATTCCATGAAATTTCAAGAGATTATCTAATTCCATTAGATTTCCACCAGAATGTTGTTTCCTAGCTAAAAACCATCTTTTAATGGTATGAGATCGGTTATATGTGTCGCATTCAGCAGTTCGCTGCAACCCGATTTCGATATTCACACTAAGATTCAAATCAAGTACCTATCCACTGTTAGTTATATATCATAAAACTTATGAAGTAACTACTGAAGCAATCAACACAAGTTGCATATATAAGAACAAAACCTGGTCAACTATTTTCCTGAATATTAACAGCTGAAAAATTACAAAACATTGGTGATGTTGAGTCATTTCAATTATTGGGCATTTGGTGACTTGATTGATAGAATTTGATCAGAACCTAAAAAAAATTAAAGAACAAATACGATCAGTCAAGAAAATCTTAAATCGATTCACTATTAAAGTGATCACTGATAAGCTATCGATTTTCAATTATTAAAATACTGATGGAAAATGAAAAAAAATATTTTTAATTGCTTACAGTAACTTGATTAAGTGAATTCATTTGTCATAATAACAAATAAAACCATCAACAAGTAACTATGCTGAAAACTGAGAAAAGTTGATACAACGAGAACAAACAACAATAATAACAGTAAACAATTCAGATAAAACTAACCAAAAAACTGTATCAGTAGTGGAATGTGTGTTACCAAATGGTGAATGCACACAAAATATAGAAATGTAAAACTCAAATATTGTTACTATGACATTTTAAGTAAACATTTATTTGTACACAAAAGAATATACAAGTTGATCTATATTCATACAATATGAGATGATTTCCAAGATTAGTTTGTTAATTAAGGGAATGATCAGAGAGAGGGGATGAGGGTGGGGAGAGAGGTAGGAGTTGGATGACATGAGTAAACATGACGAGTTGGTCGGTTAGTTTCACATAAAATCCAGTATTTAAATGTATTTCATATCCATTAAACTGCAGTTTTAATTTGGGTTGTTCAAACGATCTGTTCATTTTAGTGTGTATGCAACAATACAAATATGTACACTGATACATATCCCTCTGAACATGTATCAATAAAATCAACTTATTAATTAATTAAAGAGATAGTAACTAGGTAGAATCGTATATGGTTATGTGTAGATCATGATTAAAATATGTTTTTAAGAAAGGAAACCTTGAATGAATGGTTTTTCGCCAAAATATTTGAATAACAAGATGGCTGAAGTGTAGCGATCAACCAATTCAAGTCCCAATCAAAAATGATTAATTCCATATTTTAGTATGGTAGGTTGAAGTGATCGTTGAGTGTTGTAGTTTTACATCACAAATCAACTTTTAGCTAAGCAATCAATGATATTCAAGGAGCGATGGGCATTTGTATCTTCCCAGAATGAAACTCTTTAGTAGTGTACAACTACGACCTCATTCGAAATCGATTCCAAGTCAGAGTTCCAGTTAGAAGGTGTCACCAGTGGAGTTCAACCATGCATAGCTTAAGATGAACAGTGTTAATGTTAGTGGATGATGATTGTTTAACATTATGAATTGACTACTGATTAAAATGAAGACCATTGAATGAAAACTCAGTTGTAGTTAACACTCTCTTTGAGAAATTGCATAATGAGATTAATTAAACTTGAAAATTATTCTTATTCCGTTGAAACTAATACTTTTCTTCTTCTAACACGTTTTTATATAAAACTTACTTATTAAGAAATCTTCCAGAGTTTAGTTGTCAATTGTGCTGATTGATGTGGGTTCAAAAACATTGGGGACAAATTATTCCCCTCAAAATTACAAGTAGGTTTTGCTGATGAGTGTGATACAACATACGAAGTGGGTCAAAAATGGATCATATCAACTAATTCCAACCAAAGAATATTTAAACATAGTGTGCACGACGTCAAATCACTTACTCAAGAGGTTGCACTGTAACATAAATGACAGGATTCGATCAGCACTAAACAAATATGATATTGGTTACAACTCAGTGATGAATGAATCGTAAATATGTATTAAGTATTATTCGTGAAGTATTACGTATACTCTGTTGTTCATATGAAGAATGTAATTTTTTATCATTCAGTGTCGATGTCTGTCTAGCTCAAGCGAATACCTTGTTATTGTTTGCAGTTACAAGAATGATCAGTTTTATTTTTGAAAACTAGTTAACAACAGACAACAGTATAAACATTAAAATTGGTTTGCAAGTGCATGCAACCGATGAGTTTCATTTAGAACGAAAGCCACCTCTTGAATTCTACTGTTAACCATTATTGAAGAATATAATTCATAAAATCTGTTAGCTGTTTGTTGAATAAACAAAATGTAAATAACCTACTGAGGTTTTCCATTAGTTTTTTTCCCAACCTGTTTTTCAGGGAGAAATTCTATCAGTTTATGCAAAAAGAGAATTCCCAAATGATTTACACATCAAAAGTAATCAACTTCTGTGAGCTTCATGCTGACTCATCTGCCACTACTACTACTACTCTCTTTCTCTTTCTCTCTTTCACACGCAAACATTCACGTAAACACACGTGAATACACATTTAAGTCTTCCCCATTTAAACTGAGCTTTCCTACAGTTTATTCGGGATGAAATATAATAGACCATTTGATTATTTGTGGTTTTACTTGTTCCCAAATAATCATAAACACCCCATCGAAAAGTGTTTTCCTTAATGTAGATAAACAAACTATTATTGTTATTACTACTACTACTACTACTACTACTACTACTACTACTACTACTACTACTACTACTACTACTACTACTACTACTACTACTACTACTACTACTACTACTACTACTACTACTACTACTACTACTACTACTACTACTACTACTACTACTACTACTACTACTACTACTACTACTACTACTACTACTACTACTACTACTACTACTACTACTACTACTACTACTACTACTACTACTACTACTACTACTACTACTACTACTACTACTACTACTACTACTACTACTACTACTACTACTACTACTACTACTACTACTACTACTACTACTACTACTACTACTACTACTACTACTACTACTACTACTACTACTACTACTACTACTACTACTACTACTACTACTACTACTACTACTACTACTACTACTACTACTACTACTACTACTACTACTACTACTACTACTACTACTACTACTACTACTACTACTACTACTACTACTACTACTCTACTTCATATCTTTGTCTAAAACAACCCACTCACAATGACGAGTCAGAAAATACATCAAAATGAATATTTGTGAAGTTGTTACATGAATCAGTTCACCATACACAGTACAACAAATACGTTCACTTAAACTGCAAATTAGAAATGATCAACATTACTTGATAATTAAAAATGAACCAGTTTGTTATTTTCTGTTAGGGATGAACCATTGGAAATTGTGAAATTAAATTTTGTACTGTTTATCCTTTAACTGTAGCAAAGAAAATGATATTCCTTGTGAGATTCGAAACTCTCTCATATCCTTTTCGATTCAACTAGATTACATTGTGAATTTTGTTGGTGATTAAACAAACCTGTCATAATTGATTACTTCTAAATGGTAGAATATCTGTGTATACACATTTTGATTGATTTTGCAGTTCTGATGTCAGCAGCAATGATTGTTTTCACCAACCACTTCCATAATTATTTCATTGGTACGGATAACATAGTTTTCGGTATTCATCTCGAATGGGTACAATCACAATTGATTGAAGTGAAGTCGTTAATATGACCACAGTTGAAGTGTATATTTTGTGAAGATATTTGAGTTTTCGTGGTATACATCACAGACTGATCTTAGTTAGAGAACTGTCGCATGTCAAGAGGCAGTGGATGGCTGTTTAGTCCGATGACTTATCTGGTTAGCTTTAAACATTCATGACTGCACTGACAATCGAACCCAGCACCTTGATATCTAACCGTGAGCACTCAGCCTGTAAACCAATGAGTTGTCATCCAATGCTTCACATTATCTGACTTCAATCATTTCGATGCATGCTACGATAATCTACCACTCCTCGTGGTGACTAACTGTTTCAAACTCAACTTCGCTGAAATAAACTGGTCACTTTTTCATACTAGATCTCCTTTGTTCTCTTGTCTTGTTTACCCAGTTAACGTGTAAAAATGTGCTTGTCTATGGTGGAAAAATTGTATTGTGACTGATTCATGAAAAACATGATCACTCAAACAGTAAGCGGGATCAGTATTCTATTGTTTATCCTACATACACCACTGTCCTACATAAATTCTCTGATCGAATTCAATTTTCATCCGGAGGATTTTTATCTCTTTCTATCAGAATTTGTTCGTGATGAATATCGAATATTATTTACGAATGTCAAATAGTTTTGTTCAGATGACTGACTCCATCCCATGTTTAGTCATCTTTGTATGTTTTTGTACTGTTACTGGCTAGTTTGTTCATAGTGGTCTCTTTTCAATTGATTGATTAACTGATACAGAAAAGTGGACATCTGATTGAAGTACACTTCGGTGATATCATATTGATTGACAAGGGATACTTCACAATTCAATTAAGTTCATAATAATGAGTATAACCATAATTTATTGGAATGATTTCATCCTTGCTAAATCCATTTTATTTCTTTCCAATTATTTTTATGTTAGGAGTCCATTCATGTTTATCACTCAGTCATTCGCTAATCAATCCTAATTTATTAAATGTTAAAGTTATCATAGATAAGTAAGTTGGTTGCATAACGTAAGTTACTGATTTGTTTGTAGTGAGGTTTAAATAAACATAGTTAATTAATATAAGTTTTAATTTTCCCACTTGTTGTTATGCCGGACTACAATTGATCAACCATTATTACCATATACCTAGTAGAGGCTGATTGATTACAGTCCTTAAAGCCAACAACTGGTAAATGCAGATCCTTCTACATAAAAGATCATTAAGTAAATTTCGTTATTATAATGAAGGTTGATATATCTATTCTTTATCGGTGTATATTAAAACAAATCAGTGATCAAAAATATTTACTAAAAGTGGTTTGTTAAAATTGTTGAATTTTATAGTTAACATAACTCAGACAGTAGAAGATGAACACTAAGAATTGCAAACTGGTTGAAACCAAACATATACACAGTGGAGTGGCAGCTGGGCGATCTAAAGACTAAGCGGCCGGGGCGAGACCAAAGCTCCCGTATTCTATTCCATGTGGGGTTGTTGATATACATTTCTAGGTAGTTCTTTAGTGCGACTAGTCAGCTATCAAGTATTTCCTGATTTCCAGTGGCTGTTTATCTAAGATTTAGTCAGTGATGTTGAATATAGAAATCAATATTATGTCTGTAAAGCCATTACTAATTTTTCAACTATATCGATGAAGTTGATCATGTGTGACTCAACGCTATCGTACACTTTTGTTTGTTATTGTTCATTTAATGTATACATCTCTATCTCAGTGGAGGTTGACTGTATCATGAACAGCTCAGTGATTGCATCTCAAACTGCAGCTCTAAGTGACACGCCGTTAAATCACCACAGTCTAGAATTTTCTTCAACATTTTTTCAATAATCTATTATTCAGAATTAAATGGGTGAATATAAATTTCCCTTTTGTTTGCAATTTTGACCTTGCACTTGGCAACCAACCAAAATAAAGCGGAAATTATTATTTACACTGCCATAATTCATGACGAATGCCAAGTTTCATTCTCTGTCGTTTTTACAAGTTTACATGGAAAATATAAAGTTGTCTATGACGAAACTACCACTCCATCATGCTACGTATGTGTCAAGTGTATCACAGTCAGTCATGATAGAAGAAAAATTACAACACAGCAAAAGTGGTACCTATCACAGAAACTACTCCCAAATATCTACAATTGAGTAACTAAAAAACGGAAACACAACCGTAATCACTGGTCACGATACACTCAGATGATTTGACAACATAAAGTTTATCCTCAACCAATTAATGTAGTTAAAACTAAGTAAAAAAAAAACTACAATTTACATTTGACTGACTCTACCATAAATATCACCGAATGCCATATTAGATATGTGAGTAAATTCCCCCCCTCTCTCTTTTCTCCCTCTTTCTCTCAGGTATGTATCAATTCTCTTCCTGAAAATAAAAAGAGATTATTCTGACAAGTGTAACCATTTTTAAATGTCACTTACCATATATGTAATTTTTTTCCTGTTTTTCTTTCTCCCTTTTCTTATAATGAAACATGATCAATTCAATGGATTATAATATTATCCTTTTAATAAGAATGATATATTTCTAATATATGATGATGTAACAAGTGGATTGCACGGTTAGATGCGCAGCGTTTATATCGATCGATTACAGTGACACGTAAGGACGACCTAGAGTCCTGATTGGTCCCACTTCCCTGTCTAGCCCAGCCAGTTGAGTCTAGAACGCAAGTCACAGCCTCTGAGTTATGAATCGTTGTATTTCAAACATACTCCGTTTATATACCAACAAAACAGACCACATCGTACCATAAAAATAGAAAACAACATCTGTACAATATTTAACGAGTGAAATAAATAATGGCCAATAGGGAATGTCCATTTAGAGTTCGAGGACATCATTAGACTTAACATGATAATGATTGGTATATTCCTCAGCATCCCTAACAGATGAGTTGAAATTTTAATGAGAGAAATGAAATACATTTTTACGTTGAGTTATGTACTAGTTAGTCATATTGTAATGAACGAGAACACGAGTGGAGACAATCGAATGTATTTGAGCACAAAAAAATTACAGAACATCTTACTAAAATCTGAGAATTATACAGTAAATAGTTAGTTTGCAAAATATCAACCTCTCGTCTCAAACTTCACTGTTCCTTTGCAAATATCAGTCCATTGTCTCAGATTTCATTGTTTATGTATTTTCATACCAATTACGTTCCGTTTCCGTTGTTTCCTAGTTCGATCTTCTACTGAAATACATTCCATGCCTGACTATCGTTATATGCTACTTATGTGAATATAAGTAGCTCACATCATAATATAATTAGTTAAAAAATATATTTCTTTAAAATACGTATAGAATAGGATCCTAGTTGTATTTCATTGGTAGAATATCCTAGACAACTGACAAAGGCAAAGAATACAACATTAGACATTACTAGTGTATCATTTTTAATTTGTATTTCATATATAAAAATAAGACAAATTATATGATTATTAGTCAGATTGAGATCTGAACGTTTTTGGTCTTCATCTGCGTGTACTCAGTCATCGATAATCATTATTAATTAGTTTGAGAGTAAGACGAAATTGTTGTATATTTTGTTCTGATTTGTAGTCTGTGACTGTTCAATTGAGGTCAGTTATTTAATGAGCGTAAACCATCTTCAGGCTGTACAAATAACTTCATAAAAACATCTTAATTCGTTTAATAGTTGACATTTCTCAAATTCAGTCTATTCAGACTTTGAATTTATGGTTAGTGTCATTCACAAATTGATCAGATCTCATTGTGAGTTCTGATTGTACACCAGGGATCATAAGACAGCTAGTTTGTTATAGTGAGGGATTCATGAGTATTACAAAAATTGATTGAAGTTGAGTGAGTACCATTGATTCTAATGCATAAGGATTCCCTGTGAGACCTGAGAGTCTTTCTCCTGACCCATTCTGAATTCATGAGTGAGGATTACTGAGGAGTTACATGCTAGATCGAAACATCTATTCAATGCTCACCAAATTTAAATGACGAGCACAACCTACAAATTAAACCATTCTCTAGAAAATTCCTTCAAATGTTCGTAGTGTAGTTACACTATCTATTAACTTTATCGGTATACTACACCCTTAACTTACTTGTTGCCAAAACACATCAGGTTAATAGCATTTAATTTACCCAGGAGATTGGATTAATAAACAGGAAGAGAGAAACCCAAAGCTACTGGATCAAAATGAATTCTATTCTGGACAGCCGTATCGAAAATTTCAAACATCGACAGAAATTTACTAATCTATTAATGAATATTAAATGACTACTCAATGTTTTCTTTTGTTTTCGGGCATTGATCACTTTGAGACAGTGTTTTCTACCTCAAATGTTCAAACAAGTACAATATATCATTACATTTGAAGATCCTATTGACTGACATCACATAGCTAACATCTTTGAGCGTTTAGAAGAATAACTTTATAAATTTATTCAATCAGTTATAGATGGGAACTTAGATTTCTAGCTTCAA